TATCTCTCATTCTTGGAACCAGTTACCATCTTCAATTAAATCAGCAACCACTTTATCGGAATTTAAGTCTGGCCTATCTCGCATAACTACGCTTGGCTGTAAGCCTATAAGTGTATTAGTATACAATTGTAGAGGTAGGGTTATGAATTGGTAATTAGGCTTGGGGTTAGGGCTATAATGTTAGGTGATTAGGGCTGGTAGGGTTTCAGGGGAAGTTCAGCATCGGGAGCTAAGTGATATTTTTGCGTTTTTATCATCTTTGTCGAGCGTTTTTAACATGAGCCATTAGGCTCGGGGGATTGGGTAACCACCCCCTACGTTGCCGACGTGAAAAAAATTGTTGTTGTCCACGTGATCAGTAAAAAATGGTCTAAAAAAGCTTTATTTTGTTAATTCAATTAGTACACTAGGCAGGGAAATCATCTTAACTGTCAATATTGCTCCGCTTCTCTTTTTAACTTGAATGTCGCTCAGTCACGATATTTCTGCTTTAATTCAAATAATAACACTTTTAAAAAATGTTTAAATTATTTTCCATGTTCCCTTTCACAAGGCGTCTTTTAGCTATGCAAACAAATTACCAGAATTCCGCTTTATTCAAGTTTTATAAGTAAAAATGTCCCATCAATTTGGCAAAGTGGGTATTTGCTACTTACAAGTGGGTATTTGCTACATAAAATGGGTATTTGCTACATGCAGAATTTCGCTCGTAAAATTGATAAAAATGAATGGAATAGCTTGTAAACACGTTGTAAATTCTTAAAAAATAATGCGTCATCCATGCATGCGAAAATCATGGCATTAGAATGAACTAAAAGTGAAATAATGCGAAAAACGCATTTTTAGAAATGTTTGGGTTCCAAAGTTTCAAGTCTTGTACACCTACATACCCAGAAGCGCACTTTTTGCTAAAAATGGTCTTCACAGAAAAAATTTTAAAACGACAGAACTCAGAAGGCTTTTACGGCAAAGAAGAACATTTAGAAGACCTTTGATATCCGGAAAAGTTTTTGAATTTTATAAAAAAAATGATTGATGTACCTAGGTTTGGGTATTTGCTACCTTCTGACTTTTCAGTGACGAAATGCGAACAACAATTAAACTTTAATAACGTTGGTTTTGCATAGAAGAGAGCTAAAAAGCAATATTCTTTTGGCTAGAATTGTTAAATACTTTAAAAAAAAACTTTTACTTAATTTAAATAGGCATAGAGAAAACGCGTAGCAAACACTCACTGATGAATCTAAAGAGAGAGAGAGAGAGAGAGAGAGAGAGAGAGAGAGAGCGCACAGTCAAGGCTTCTCTATTTGTTTTTTAATAAAGAAGCCGTTTAATTCCCCATGGATTACTTTCAATTTCCAAAACAAACTTTATATCCAAAGCGAACAACGGTGTCGTCAGCATGCTCTATACTCTCCTAGAGCACGCTACAATACGCCAATCAGAATCCCTGTTAGAATGGTTCAAATAATCTGATTGGTTGTGCAAGACTAAAGCTGTCAAAAGAGGTCAAACTATCAAAGTTTACATTCTGTAATAGTTTACAAACTCGAGAGCTCGGCAGGTCGAATTGAGCACTTTTACCTTAAGTTTTTGTAGTCTCTAAGAGCCGTCCGCTAACAGACAAAATTGCTATTTTCCGTGATTCCGTAATTGCTATTGTCCGTGACAAAATCCTTTGACAAATTTTGTCGTGACGATTGTCCCGTTTGCTGTATCCGCATTGACTGTGGTTAAAGTCGTCTAATTCTGTAAACACTTTCAATATCGTATTTCATTATAATATTTTCAATTTTTTTTCAGCAATCTCTTCTACTTCGTCGGAAGGAAAACGTGACAGTGACTGGAATATTGCTCCGCTCTCGTAAATTCTCTCGGTTGCATATTGATGACCAAACTGGTCGTCGAAAGGTGGGACGTTCCAGCTTCTTACAGAGTTGGGCTGTTCATGAGGATGACGGGCATAGTGTGCCATTGGATTTAAGTTCCAATCATAGGGATTTATTTTGTTTGTTGTGAAAATTTTAAATGAAATTTCGCAACACGCGCGAGAAACAACCGAGATGCTAAATTTATACCGCTAAAAGTTGTTTTGACAAATGATTGACAAGATAACCACAATTTTGTTAATCTGAACGACTTTTTCCACTTTCTACCTGGGACAAATTTTGTCGGCGGTGCGTTCGAAGATTTGTCCGCTTCGGCTAAAATTTGTCGAGTCGCAACAAATCATCCGCACTTGTTGTACTTCGGTGATGACAGAAAATTTGTTTAAATTAACAACTTATCGGCCCTTACACAGAATCTGTAAGTGAAATATTCAGTGAAATCCGGCCGAATTGTGGCTTATAAAAACACGAAAGTTTTTCATATGATAATTGGAAAACAAACTCTTCTAAGCGTGTGTTTTATGAATGAACGACAGCCGAATTCACCGGAACGTGAAGATTGCTCGGGATAACAGCACCGTAAAACTCTGCTGCAGTTACTGATGTGGTCTTCCACTCAACACATCGGAAAGGATATCGGAGCAAACTCTTAGTTGCTCACTCGGAGGGCGGCCGATGTTATTTCAGAGGCTTGCTTCACTGCGATGGCCAGAGATCGCCATGATGAGCTAGCCGCGTTGGACCTCAGCATGATCGCAGTCGTTTTGACACCGTCATGATTAGTATGAATTTTAACAGTTATGCCGGCTTGGCTATATCTTTCATCATTCCTGTTTTGTTTCTGATCTCGAAACTTTATACACTACACAAGTGTTAGTTGTGTTTGATTTTTATTACCGCACGCAAGCTTGCAATCTAACCTTCAAAACTCGTAGTAGTTCGTGTCCATTTCGTTTTCTCATTCTCTGTTCACTTTATAATAACGTAAATTACGGCGCCTGGCACGTTTACGAACCTTTGCTTGGTTCTTTTGTTTCTACTTGCCGGCTCGCTTGCTCCAAAATTTCACTTTCAATTAACGAAAAAGGCTAGAGAGAGGTCCCGGAAAAGGTCGGACATAGTCGGCAGACGGCGTGACAACTTTAGCTTAGCTTTCAACCAATGACAGCGGGCGTTATGTTCGAACTTTTTATGATATAAATATAAATATATATATACACCCGTTGTCCAAAACGTTGCAATCTGAATTAAAAAATATATGAAATATATACACGTTAAGTTTTCTCATTAACAAGTGGCTCTTTTTGATGAGAAAAGAAAAGATACATTTATTTCATGAACATTTTCAAATTGAAAAACGGGTGTGTATACAGTGTATGTAAACGGTATGCTTCTTGAAGAGATAATGAACTTGATAATCTCTCCAATCCAACAGAAACAAAATGACATTATTTTATCGACTAATTCTTAGATGTAAGCAAGTCGATCAATTCATTCTCCAAAATTCTTATCTTCTTTACCTAAATTGTTTCCGTTACATCACCGCTGAGATCATTGCTTAACAAGTGACAGGTCGAAGGCTGAAATAGGGTTCCGCTCGCATTTTGTTTAAAATTCCCTTTGAGAAATTATCCTACCTCAAAGGAATTTCCGTCAACGGAAAGGGACAGCGGCCACCGGGATATTACGAGATGACGTAACTGAGGTAGGACTCTTAGGACTCTCACCAACGCTAGTTTGTCGTGGGTTACCCAAGTAATTTATCGCAGTGTAGCAGGTTTCATTTCGGTGATTATGTACGATGTTCAATTATTATTAAAAGGATATAAAGGGGTAAGTTTCTAAAGAAACTGTGGTGCTGCGTCGGTGGGAGAGTATAGCAGGTAATTTAGTGTTAACAACTGGGTTGAAAACGTAAATTAGCCACCGTAAAGGGTAAAAAAGCTGACGTTTCGAGCGTTGGCCCTTCGTCAGAGCGAAGGACGAAGGGCTAACGCTCGAAACGTGAGCTTTTTTACCCTTTACGGTGGCTAATTTACGTTTTCAACCCAATTGTTAACACTAAATTACCTATTATTAAAAGGAGTCACTAATTGGGCACGCCAATTTCTGGGCATTATCAAAATTTAGGGCTGCATTACGTGAAAAAAAAGAGCCGGTGGGTGACAATCTCGTTTCATTTCGCCTTGTTATCGTTAGTTCCAAATTATAGGTCTAAAAGACTCTGTTGTAATAGAAATATGATGCAGTATCATTAATGGCACTTTGCTGGTGAAAAAAATCTCATTTTAGCTCACATCCACTACACGATCAACTGGTATTGAGCGCCTGAAATTGGGAGCGCCAAATGTCAGAATGGGAACTCAAACTTTGATATCCAAAATAGTTGTTCGATAGGTGTTAATTTTTCTTAACGAAAGTACCTTGCAAGGTGATCGTCGGAAACAGAGAAATAAATACAACTTCTGATGACACCCAAACAGTTCCATTAGAACGTAAAATCATGCTCATGAGAAGATTAAAGTAAATAGACTAGTTCAAAATTAGATGAAAAGTGGGTTTCTCGGGAGAAACGTTTCCGCCTTAGAGCGCGAGAGTCACCAAAGGTCATTAAAAGTTGCCTAGGAATTGCACCCTTAATGTCATCATAGGTGTCAATTCTCTGTAAACAGAATAATTCTAAACAAATAAACTTAACATCAACGTGACTGACTGATTCTCACGAACCATATTTGACTCGGGCGGCACCTCAGTCGTCTACTGCCTTTTTACAAAAATAACTTTGTGGTTATACGCGCAATCAATTTTGAACTATTAGTAGAGGTCAGGGAAAAACTTTCATTAAATTCTTGTCACATTGTTGAAAACTGGTTTGATCGTTTTCATTGTAGATTTACCGAGAGACGAAAACCTTATGAAATAGAAATAGCAGAAGTTTTCGTTTTCATTGTGGAATGAGAAAAACGATTTTTAGTCACGTGACGACACCTATTTTCTGATCAACCACAGCTTTGTGTCAATGTCAGGAGAACTATGACGTCAATATTACGAGAGCTGTGATTGGTTAGTGGTTCGCGTACCTCCCACGTAAAACTGATGAGAATGCCTCACCTGTCAGTCAAGAAATGGACTCGATCCTATGCAAAGAAAGGATAAGCGAGAATTGGGAATCGATTCACGTTTGCTTCCAAGACTAAGGGGTTAACGCTGGCGTGTTACAGAGCTAGAGAGATCTGGATTAGCCAGAGTGTTTTGGTAATATGACTTCGCTTCTTCCTTTTACGCCGCCCATTGTTAAGAGATTGCTGGGCTGGAAGCGAAGTACGGACGACGATGATAAATGGGCCGAGAAAGCAGTGAAGAGTTTGGTAAAGAAATTGAAGAAAACTGGAGGCCTTGAGGAGCTGGAAAGAGCGATCACGAACCCGGGTATTCCTACTAAATGTGTGACAATACCTCGCAGTTTAGACGGCCGTTTGCAAGTTTCGCATCGCAAAGGTCTGCCTCATGTGATTTACTGTCGACTATGGCGTTGGCCGGACTTGCAAAGCCATCACGAATTGCGACCTATTGAGTCGTGTGAATACGCTTTTAGCTTGAAGAAAGATGAAGTTTGTGTGAATCCTTTCCACTATCAGCGAGTAGAAACACCAGGTAATTTTACAATCAATGTTGTGCACAATTCCTTACGCAAAGAATGCTCTACGGGGTCGTAGAAATATCTCGTTTGTGTTCTTTCGGCGTCCCAATTAGTCTATCTAGTTTTGTTTTGATCTCAGCGCGCGTGTTCCATTACTTTGTACACTGCTCGAGTGTCTCCTGCGATCGTTCTGGATGGCAGGAAATCTGAATGTTTTACTTAAGTATAAAATTATAATTTACCTTTTCGAAAGCAGCAGGGATGACAAGCGAACATGCCATTAAAACATCCTTGTAATGCCTAAGTCGCGAAGAAAATGAGTATGTTTCTTCCTTGATAATTACGCTTTCGTCCATGTGTTCGATAATTGCTGGATATGTTAGCAAGAAAAAGTGCATTTTTGACTGCAGAAATGCAATCCTCTCGAGTAAAAGATTCTAGACGAATGGCCACTTCAAATTTCGCCTTTTCACTGATGGTTTGTCAACCAACATAGCGTTAATCGGCCGTTGTATCTCGTACTATTGAATGAACGAACATGTGTTCAAAAAACCTGCAAAATGTGCTCATAGGTTGTGCACGTTCTAGATTAATTTTTCTTCGCCTTTTGCTATCAGCTGTTTTTGACGTCCAATATTGAATTGCTGCTTTGTAGATAGAGTCTTTGATCGGATCTGATCGGTTAATTTCCATTTTCAAAACAGATGCCTTGATTTTGCGGAGGTCATGTTGGATGGTAAAATTGTGTAGTACAACGTAAAACTAGGACACTGGCTGGTGTTGTAGGACTTTTTTTGTGCGATTTTTGCGGACTGGTTGTTAGGCTCGGTGTTTTTATTCCCGACAGTCGCTGCCAAGGCTTTTTCTCAACCTTGATCAATTTCTTTACGATCAGTTGCCGATTTATTCCAAGCGCGTTATGGACGCTAAAGGAAATATGCCGCTATCATACAGATTTTCATTTCATTCCGTTTTTTCGTGGGTTTGGTTTGAATCCTCTCTGCTGCTTCTCAAAGGCCTCTAAACTAACTCGATTAAATGTTACTTTAGATATTGTTGTTTGAATCGTTGAATTTTGGGAAAGATGTTCGACCAAATGAATAGTTATTCGACGGTATGTGTGCGACAAACGTACGTGTGTTTGTGTTCGCGCCGAGAAAAAATTCGATCTTCTCGCTATAAGGCAAACTTTCAAGTACTTTCAGCGGTAGTTTGACAGTGCTCAATGACACATTGTCCCACTTAAGTTTTATATTTATTTGAAAGTCGTAGGATATTTTTTTACGGACTTCATTTGTGATGTGTTTCATTATCAAACGGCCAGTTGTTTGTCGTTTGACCAAGCAATGAAATAGCCCAGAACCGCGTCAAATATTTTTTAAAATGTTTCCAAATTGAAGTTCATAAGCTGTGTCCTACACATTAAAGCTCTTAGGTCGTGAATGATTGTTGACTTAAGAATTTTATTTCTCTGTATACATTTGTAATTCGCCACGCTAGTGCCTCGGTCTGTTTCCGTCAATTTAAATTAATGAGGAGAAATTATCAACCATTTTTCGTTGACGAATACGAAACTTTGGTCGATGATGCGTAGTAATGCAAAGTCAAACAGCGAGAGTGTATATACAAGTTTTGTTTTGCATTGTTCTGGAGGCAATTTGTACGAGAAATCAAATAAAGAAAATTGGGCTTGTCTCCGGAAGGGAGTCTCCATACGTTCTCTTGTTATCTGATATAGAGCCAATGATCAACTGCAGATTTTTCACCTTTATCATTTTTTACGATTGTCAAACGAATGAGTTGTTCGTGGAGATGCAAGTATTTTAGAATTTACCTTTTTCACTGTTTCCATTGCATTATTGTTCATGGTTTCGTTCGAATCATTTCACAATGGTGATGTTGTTACGTGATATCATGAAAATGCTAATCGCCATGCGTTGTTTCATAAACTTGGTTTTCCTTTTTGCCAGTGAAACCTAACCTATTGTAAAATACTAACTTCTACATTTTCTCCGTTGGAATTTTATTTTTATTATTTGATCAGTCAAATACTATTAATAAATAAGATATATGGTTTCTTTGTTTTCTCTTGTAAGGAGTGTGCAGTTCTTGTTGTTGTTAAAGCTTTGTGTCTGTCCAAATAGTTTATTTTTCCTCTTATATTTTGAAGCACACATTGGTGTAATGTTTAACATGCTTATGTGTCTTAAACACTGATATCAGCATATCAGTGATTTACATTGGTCAAGGGTGTGACTTGGTTTTCTGTGTGTGTGTGTGTGGCTTTTATCAGCAGAACATGTTTATCAAAGCTAACACTTCATAATACTGTTTATTGGGCTTAGGTGTGCACTATTTGCTGTGTTTGGTGCATTCTGTAACAGTAGCAACACTTTAATCTTGTAACATTGAGCATTACCCAGTACTTTGCTGCAGTTCAAACTGTAGTGAACATTGGAATGGTTGAGTTTCATTAAATTTTCCTGTTAAATCACAGTCGACATTATCATTTAATAAGGAAGTAACACTATGTGACTTTGATCAATCTGAAGTGCCAAATAAATTCCTCAAAGTTTACTTAATATTCATTTTATTGTTCAAATACACCTGTAAAACAGTTCAACAGTTAAAAATATATTTTTTATGGACAGAAAACTTTGAAACTTTGGAAAGTTGTTTTGCAGAGTTCAAACAAATCTATGAATGATATTATCTGTTCTAGTGGGTGGACAATGGGAATAAACAACCTCCTTATGGGTCATGACCTGGTCAGATCTGTTAAGTTCCAGATCAGAGACAAGGGTTTCTTTGATTTTGAGAGTATCCAATCCTTTTCTATGATCCAGTCACAGCTCTGATTAACACTATCTTCAAATGTTGATAGTGTGAAAAAAATAATGATTTTTTTTGTATTAACAATCCCTTATATGATATATCTGAATACTTGCTATCAAAACCATAGTATGGATAAAGCCAATAGGTAGTAACATGTATTTGCAGTCGAATATCTGGTAACTAAATACATTCTGACTGCAAGAAGTTTGATATTAAGCAGAAATTAGATCTAAGATTTGAGAATAAAGTCAGATTTTAAATCTTTTTATTTTTCTTTAAAATGAAAATCAATATTTTGGGAAAATGTCTGTGGGTAATGCCTTTTTATGATGCTTTCATTCAATTGTTTTATGATTTTGTGTTCATTGTGCTGCGTCATAATAGTACTAGGTATAAATGACATGTTGAACAATTTATCCAGGCGAGTTAAATCTGTATTATATGTGTACCTTTTGGTGTTCTTCTCTTTAAGGCCAAGAACCAGGGGTAACTTTTGCCAAAGAACATTGGTTGTTCAATCATTAAGTGTCACCATATTTTAATGGGTAGCTTATAACTTATTTGACTGCTTTTGTTTTTTTTAGTTCTTCCACCTGTTCTTGTTCCACGTCAAACAACTGAAGTTCCCAGGGAACGTCCAGCACTCCCAGAATACACCAGACCAGAAAATACTTCATTTCCTACCCAAGAGCCCACTAACTCCCCATTCCAGTTGCCTGGTAGGTACAATTTGGGAGTCACAGAACAGTTTGTTTGCATTTGTTCATTCGATAATTTGACCAAGGATCAATAAATTTTTCATTTTTTGCTTTCCTCCCCCCACCCCCCCCCCTTTTCTTTCTTTTTTTTTTTTTTTTTTTTTTTTTTAATCTGTTGGTTGCCAATTTGCAACTTTTGTTGAAATTCTAGTCGTCAAATATGTTTTTCACTCACCATGGTGAGTGAAAAACATGGGAGCACTGGCATAACATCATTATCCTGATGTTTAGGTTGCTTGGGTTTAATCTCTTCTCTATGAGAATGAACAGACAAGGAGTATACAAAACTGTAGCTACTGCTCCAGCTAGGAACACACATTGACCTTAAGAAAGAAAAAGGAAAAACAAACCTTTAATTTCCCACAATGTGTGGAAAGAGGCAGTACAAAAGTGAAGTATTGTACCAAAGAATACAAATAAGAGACCACTGAATGGGCGTGTAGAAGGAGTCCTGGCTGTGAACCATTTGGCTTGCTTTGGTATTTCTTAACCCTTTACACCCTAATGTCAGTATGCATATTCTCTACACTGCTTCTTTACATTTCTTGAAGTGCTGACAATGAGAATTTGTTTAAAAATCAAGAGCTTTATCAGGTGGTGATCATTTCCTCAATTCTCATAACTGTAATGTTTGCTTCTGGGCTGATATTGTAAGGAGAAGTTAGAAGCTGGTTACTCTAAGGGGTTAAAGGGCTGAAAAATGAATTGAGACTCAAAATGGAGGGCAAAATAATTTTTTTCCAGGTCATTTAGTTACACATTAACATCAGTATTCATATTCTCCATACTGTTCTCTGTACATTTACTAATGTGCTGTGTACTGATTTGTCAAACAATTAAGAGTTTCTTTAGTTGGTGATCATTTCCTTTATTCTCATGACATTAATGTGTTATTCAGGGGTGATATTGTAAGGAGAAATTAGATGCTAGTCACTCCTAGGAGTCAAAGGGTTAAGGTTTCTCCAAACCCTTGATGGTGTCTTCCTTGCTTGTAACTGGACATTATAATAGGACAGTTTACATGTCTTGCCTGTGTCATTGGACAGTTTGTGTCGTTTGCATCCTGTTTTCATGATTTTACTGTTGCTTTGCCTGATAAGTATAACCAATACTAGATTATTTCTCAAATTTTGTCATTGTTTGATTAACTGGTAACAGGACTTTGAGGTGTCCAAAGCAATCTATTATTATACTTGAAATTAACAGATTGCACTCCTGCTTTACATTTGTCTGATTTTGTTGATCACTTGTACAATTACAAAACAAATTGGATTCCACTGAATCCTCTTACCATTACTGGTATTAAAAGAGATGGTATTTTGTCAAAATCATAGTGGAAGGTTTGGTCTTTTGAAGGTTGAGAAGCATGTCACACCCTCTCATAAGATTTATATTGACACTTGGCTCACACTATGAACTGCTGGCCAATTATTTAGGAGTACCCCTAACAATCACAGCAAGCAAAATGTCAATTTACAGGGAAATGGTATTGTTTCAGTCATGTTTTGCAAAAGTAATCACATGGGCCTGAGGGCTAATAAGGATTAATTTCACTTCTATTTTCAAAGTTTTCCTTGTTAAGTTTGGGAAAACTTTAGAAATAGAAGTGAAATTAATCCTTTATTGCACATAGGAACTTGTGATTACTTGTTTATAACATAAAGGGTGAAATGTTTTGAGGGAATTGCATACGTGCATGATGTCCACACGTCACAAATGTCAAAACAAACACGACAAACAAACTGAGTAACAACACCAGGAAAGAATGTTGTTAGTTAGGCAAACCACAAGCCCCTGTCACTTTCTCTGAGATGTTTTCTATTGTCTGAACGTGAAATTCACAAATTTGTTGTGTTTTGGGTAAATCATGCTGTCAAGGACTTGTATCATGCAAAAAGATGGTCTGATGTCATGGTGATTAACTTGTATTGTTTCTGTTGCCTGTGCAGATACTCCAGGTTATATGTCAGAGGATCAGTGCTCAGTGTCAGGAGATCAACCACAGAGCATGCAGACAGGTAAGACCCCAAGTAGTTTTTTTGCAGCTTAATTCATGTCACGATAAAGGAGCCATTTTACACTATTTTGATTTGCTTTTGGTATGAACAAGGAAAATCCTTTGGGTAGTTTCAGTAAATTAAGTGAATAACTTAAACAATCTGCACACCCATTCTCTTTTCATTAGTTTTCCCCTCTGACTGGTGTACAAAAAATGTAGCCTGTAAACCACATTCTAAATTGAAATTCACTAGTCAGCCTCCCAAACATTCTTTACAGTCAGAGTTCAGTGGCAACTATTTTTCTGGTTTCCTTGCAGATCCAGGTCCTCTATCTCCAGATCCATCCCTTGCAGGTAAAAACAAGTATTTCATTTGTTACCTTTCACCATGTGATGGCTACTGCTAAGCTTTAACGTAAACCCTTTTTTATTTGTGTCATTATTCATTATATGAACAATACATTTATAAACATGTGTGCAACAAGAGGCTTAATTGTAATAAGGAAATGGTTAGTGTGCAGTGAGTTATGGATGTACTTGGGAGTCAGCTAAGCACAAGAGAAGAGTAAGAGTGGCACAAGGTGGTAGCAGGGAGTGACTCTAGCTTCTTAAGTGCTTTCATAACTCAATGGTTGCATGCTGCATGTTAACCATTTCTTTTATAACATTGATACTGTCAAACATCTTTTGTTTCCTGAAGGAAAAAAAGGAAAACAATCTGAAGTTAGCTTGCAACCCACAGGCAAATGGATCAAGTGTATTTTGTGAAGCTATGTTCTAATCATTGTTCTGTTGTCCTCCAGATGCACAGCCTGTCCAGTACACTGAACCAGCATACTGGTGCCAGATTTCATATTATGAGATGAACACAAGAGTGGGAGAAATTTTTCATGCAGCTCGACCAAGTCTTACTGTTGATGGCTTTACTGATCCCTCTAGTTGTGACAGATTCTGTTTGGGATTGTTGTCTAATATTAACCGCAACCCTCAAATAGAGATGACACGTAAACACATTGGGAAGGGAGTCCGCCTCTATTACATTGGTGGTGAAGTGTTTGCTGAGTGTTTAAGTGACAGTAGTATATTTGTACAGAGCCCCAACTGTAATCAACGGTATGGCTGGCACCCAGCCACTGTGTGTAAGATTCCACCGGGATGCAACCTAAAGATCTTTAATAATCAAGAATTTGCTCAGTTATTGTCACAGTCTGTCAATCAAGGTTTTGAGGCAGTGTATGCATTAACTCGTATGTGTACCATCAGAATGTCGTTTGTAAAAGGCTGGGGTGCTGAGTATCGCAGACAAACTGTAACAAGTACACCATGTTGGATTGAGCTTCACCTCAATGGCCCCCTTCAATGGCTTGATAAAGTTCTTACACAGATGGGTTCTCCTTCTGCTCACTGTTCATCAATGTCCTGATGAGTTTCATAGAATGTGTTATTTCATGTGTGAATGTTTATTGAATACTTAAAGATGTAAGTTAGGCTTAAAGCTTATTAAATGCTCAAAACCTATTACTGGGTTTTGTGTATGCTGTACCGTATGCAAAAATGCTGTATACTCACTTTTTAGTTGAATCTTTATCAAAAAGGCAATATGCTACTAACTATATTTTATATAATTATGAAAATCAATGATTGCATACAAATGTGCCTTTGATGTCCAAATAGAGGGAGAAATGTACATAAAACAGCCATACTCAGTTGCAAGTTGCCAGACAGTGTTCTTTTATATTTTCTTTTTAGTTCCATTGGAAATCTTGACAATTATAATTGCAGATTGTTTGGGATATCTATAGGAACATGGTACTCTATACCAGGACCAAACCAAGTGTCCATTCGCAACTTATTTGAAAGGCTAGCAACTGATAAAAAAGACAAGTGTACATTATTTAGGTCAGAACAAGAATGGAAATTATATGTGTAGGGCTATATTGGGGTTAGTATGTTAAGAGGCTGCTTTCAGGAAATTGCAATTATGCGAGCAACACATTGAAAATGAATTACATTCAACCAAAAAATTGAACATTTGATGAAACACTGGTTGAGATCACATCATCAAACTACACCCCATGTGGTTGCAACTTCTCAGAGTGTTCAAGGAGAAACAAGAATTTTAGTTCATCTATTGGTTGTATCTAATATTTAAAAGTCCTTTCATTTTTCACAGAGGAAAATTATGTAGGAATTTGCAACCATGCGTAGAGAGGGAGAAATTGTGAAAGTAAACCTCAAGAGGTGACAAACTTAAAGTTTTTGGGGAAGACCATCAGACCTGTAGATGTCTTTTGAACTGACATTGGAAATAGGTGCATCTTTTGCAGTTGTTATGAGTCACATAAAATTTACTTATGTTTTGTGCTACATAGGTTTTCTGGAATTAATATTTGTCATGTTAGTGTTGTGAATGTCTATGGAATTCAATCCTTTTAACTGCAAACCAAAAATAAATATGAATAAGTAACTAGTAACTTATAAAATTTAACAGCAAATTTTGAAGTAATATGGTACAGTTTTCTATCGATGTATTTGTGGAATTGTGAAATTAGCTGATCAACTGCACACATCAGGGAAGAGTTTTGCCTAGCTAGGGGGAAATGGTAAATGTATGTGTTGATTGTAGTGTACATACAGCTGTGTCACTAGTTTTGTGCAAAGTATTTCAAATTAAGTTACACATTAATGCTCATTTTGATTTAGTGAATTTTCCTTTTGTACTTGTGATTTTAGTGATGGATAAGCAGTATTGTGTGTGCAACCAGTTAAAACTGGTCTTAGTATGTTATAGTTTGGTGGAAAATGGCAAAGTCTGGGTGAGGCTGATAAAGTTTCCAACCCTGGAGTTTGCATTATTGATTGTAGAATAGCATGCAGACTGTTATGCCACAGCCCATCATATTCTGGTAATTCTGGAAGTAGTGTCATTCCTTTTATTTTAAGTGCGAAAGGAAATACTCATAACAGTCTAAAATGATATTAAAACTAAGATTTTAGCCTTCATTTTTGGCATATACTCGGATTGCAACTGGCATGTACAAAGTTAAGGGGAGACTTTGCACATCAAAGGCATCTAACAACGAGCATTGCAAAAATATTACAGGATAATAGGATGTGCAGGATTACAAACCTTGTTTTAGGAGGGAAGTTTTTGTGAAACTGATTTGTCAAAACATGGACTCTGTATGCATGCACATTGCCCTCTTTCTCCTTTCCATGAATTTCTCAAAAAATTCTAATCACTTTTTGTTTGTTTGTTTGTTTGTTTATTATGTTGTTGTGAAAATGGTAACTGCATTTCCTATTAGGCTTATCTTGTAGAATAACATTGTAGCATCAGTCTTTAAAAAGCAATTTTGTATAAGTATTTGAGGGTTATGAGAAAGGTGACGTTTTAACTATAATTAGAATTTTTAGATGGTTATTTTAGATTGTAAATAGTAATTAGAAATATGATGGCACCTACTGAGGCAACTATACCATTTTAATAGAGCCTAATTGCATTGCGCAGCAATTTATGTTTACTTCTAGCGCATATTTCAATTTTTACTTTTACAGCTCTAAAGCTTCGATTTCTTACCTGTATAGTGCATAAGCAAGCTGGTAAATATAAAGAATGGTCCTATTTTAATTTTGCAAATGTTGTCTCTCTGTCTCTTGACACCACTCAAGCATCACCTGCGTCAGTGAGGTAAGGGCAGCCCCCTTCCCCCCCCACCCCACCCCACCCCCCCTGTAGCTGAAGGATGCATTCTTTGAGGACCACTTTAAATAGCACGTGAGAGTGAAATTGAAATAATCGGTTGAACAGAAACATGGGAAGACCTCATCAAATACTCCCTGCGACTACTTCGTGTGCTCATTTTTAGTTGATTTACCGACTTCGTGGAAAAACTATACTTGTTATGAATGTATGGCAATGTACTCATTCCCAGATACCCTCAGACCTGTTGGCAGAGTCGCCAACGCGGTAGACTATCCCTGGGAGGTTCGATTTTAATTTCTCGCTTGTCTATTTGGGTTATTCAACTATTTTGCTTGATTTGATTGTCATCGTATGTGTGCAAGCGAACTTACTTTCCAGCCTCAAACATAACATTTTTATTTCACCCCTCGCGATTGTCGGAAAAACGGAGACCCAATTTACTGAGAGCAGATGAAAGCTAAATTATGCCGTGGGCTACGAAAAGTGAGGATGACTTTTAATTGTAGCGCTTAGCGTAGGGAAAGAGAATGGAGATGTCATGCAATGAGAGGAACCTGGGATCAAGACATCTGAGAAGCGAAAGTACGACAACTTCCGGCCTACATGTTTATTCTACAGACAGTTGACGAGAGTAAGGGAAAAAATCGGTCCTGTTTAGAATGTTACCAAATCTTAAGAGGAAGAAACTTATGGGGAGCGGGAGTTTTGGAAGCGTTTACAAAGCTGAATGGAACGGTGGACCAGTAGCAGTTAAAATTCTTCATGAAAAGCTCTTCACATGTCCTCGCAACGAATATTTGGCGCAGTTTGAAGCGGAATGCAAAATTCTACAAAACCTCCAGCATAAAAACGTGGTTACGTTATTGGAATTTATCATTTCACATACTTCACCGCCAATGCTGATAACTGAACTCTTGGATTGTGATTTAGGGAAGTACATTGCTAATTGTCATCCAGGGAGGATTCCATATTCAGAAACTGTCTCGATTATGTTAGACGTGGCGGAAGGTCTCGCGTATCTTCATCAGCAAAATCCACCGATAGTTCACCGAGACTTGGCCAGCAAAAACATACTTCTGACCAAGGAAAGGCAGGCAAAGATTGCTGATGTCGGTCTTGCCAAAGTGCTTCCAAAAGGCGAACAAAATTATTGTTCTCCTGTACCCGGAACGCCAGTTTATGCTGCACCAGAAACGTTTCACCCCGACTATGATCCAATTTTTCCCGTTTCAAGGGGCCGATCGCGTGTCGAATATGACAATAAGATTGACATCTTTTCACTCGGAATCACTTTGATGGAAGTTGTAAATGGACGGCTGCCCTCCCCACAACCATGGATACCTTTTACGAGCGGTACGTATCGTATTTTTGTAAACAATGTTATTAACTTAACACAGTTATGGTAATTTGTTAAGGTGAGGTAAGACAAAGAAAATACAGGTCCGCAATACGTGTTTGGCCCACAAATTCCTCACGCTACTGACACTGAAGTTTCCTAGAGAATGTAAAACCTTAAAATAAGAGATGGTCATAAACCGTGTGTACGGTGATAAATGGACGGCTGCCTTCCCCACAACCATGTATACCTTTTACGAGCGGTACGTATAAACAATGCATGTAACTGAACATATTTTAAGGAAAATACAGGTCCGCAATGCATGCGCGTGTGGCTCATGCACGAACTCTTCACGCTACTGACATTGAAGTTCTTGAGAGAAAGTAAAACCTTAAAATAGGTGGCAATGGTCTTAACTCAAGTGTAAGTATTATTTTAGTATAATGTCAAAAAAAACAACAACAACAACAAAAACAGAAACGTAACGGGGTCTTTTGGTGGCAACGAATGGAAGAAGAGAGCCATGAATTGGAGTTATGCAGACCTCGATCATAAAAAGCCATAATTTTTAGCAAAATTCGTAGAAAGAATTTGCCTTTTATTTCATTTTCACGTTTTTTTTCAAGGGTAGGCAGGTCGAATGCTACAGCGTGGTATCTTGAAATTGAATCTTAAACCCAGGAACATGCAACTTGGCAGTCATATTTTACTCAGTTCTAGTACCCACGCTGGCAAGCTCTGTAATTGCGACTTATCAAGCTTGTGTTGCAGTAAATGATACCTTTTTTCCTCTTTATTGAGTAGATGGTCGACAAATACCAGAGAGGGAACGCCGTAAGAGTGACATCGAGATGATGGGTGAGCATAAGCTGAAAGATATCGTCTTCTGCTGTATCAAGGATTCCCCTAAGAAGAGACCTAGCGCCAAGGAGCTCGCTGAACTGTTTCAATGTGAATCTGAGAAGATACAACAGAAGGAAAGAATTGTTAAGGGGGGGAAAATTCCAAAGATTGAAGTTGCCGTTCTCGGAGAGTCCGGTGTAGGAAAGTCATCTCTAATTTTACGTTATTCTAACCACATCTTCTTTGAGGAAATTGTTCCTACGTGTGGCTTGGACTTTAAGAATTCTACGATCTGTCTGCACGACCGAGAGTTTACATTGAAAATTGTTGATACGGCAGGCCAAGAAAAATGCCAATCTATGGTTCCACAGCTCATACGAAACGTTCAAGGCATAGCTATTGTATATGATGTAACAAATAAGTCTTCTTTCACTAAAGGAGTTCCCAGAATGCACCAGTTTATTAAGAACTGTGCACCAGATAATGTGAGTTTAATTTTAGTGGGTAATAAAACGGAGGAGAGAGGACGCGTCATCACTAGAAAGAGAGGGGAAAATTGTGCCAAACAGCTCGGCATTAGTTACATCGAGACGAGTGCAAAAACTGGCCTAAACGTTGAAGAAATGTTTAGAATGATTGCAAACGATATCTATGGCAACTTAGATTTGTCTGATATTGACGTATACATATCTAGCAGAGAAAGAGAAAGTAACCTCGGTACTGAATCAAGTTGCAACTGCTAAATTATCACAAGGTTAAGGTGGCACTGATCTTTCATTAATGGGAAACGGGTATCACCCATCCCATTCTAAGGTACAGGTACACAAAACCAAAAGAATGAGTACTTCTAAAAAGCTGCAGTGGTGCTATGGTGACATTGTATGTGAAAAGAACGAAACATTCCAAAAATTAGGTGTTCTATCTCACTTGCGAGGAGACAAATATAAAAACGCAGTGTATTTTCAATCAATTAGTCTAAGAATAGTCGTTTCAGGATGACGAAGCCATTTTTATCAACCCTAAGTACAGTAACTGTGAACATGATTAAGATAAGAGATGTGAGATACGTTTTGACCGTTGGAATAGCCTACAATACTTAAGGTAAAGATGTTATTTTTATACTGTGGTGAAAAAGTAGGTAAATGTAGCTTGGATTAAGTTTTTAGTGGCGACGTATCGGTGAAAGGATTTGCCTCCCGATTTTCCTTTTCCCACAAAAATCAATGTTCCTTACGACCCTTTATTAATGTTTATTTGCCTAACCTTCGAAACACGCTTTTGAAAAGTTAGAGATTTTCGAAGTTGCAGTAATATTGTATTGTTATTTTTCAAGTGAGATGTTAATAAAGAAATCTTTGTGTTGGGTTGAT